AATCTAAATTTGAATTAATGTACAACCAAAGAACTTTAAAAATAAAAAACTTTCAAATTTAATACACATTTTTCATTATATACATAAATAAAAAAATTTTTTTACTTTCGGTATGAATATTACCTTAAAATTCGAGTCGAATACGAGTTAAACAATAATCGGGTCGGGTCGAACAACAATCGGGTCGAGTCGAATTCGGGTCCTGAAAATATTAACGAGTTCGAGTTCGAGTCTGCTTCAAACCCGACCCGACCCTTACGGAGCACTAGCGACAATATATGTTAATGATTTTCACAAAAAGAACTGGATCCGGAGCAGAACACCTAGCATTCGTGTAACTTTTCACCCGAGTCAATTTCTGAATGGAGTTTTAACCAATTTCACTCGAGTCATAATTAGGAGTTTTAACACTTACTAATATTCAATTCTGGCCGAAATTTTCAAAAAATCTACAAATTTTTTTTGTTAACTCTTTTGTGACCAATTTATTCATGTGTCAAGTTGTAATTTTAAAAATATAAACGAGATTAAAAAAAAATTTAAAAAAAAATTTAAAAAGATGAATTTCTATTTTTATTTTTTTTAAAAAAAAAAAATGTCATCTAAACTAGTCAATTTAACGTTGGCAACTTTAATTGGTAATTTATAGCTCGATCACAGCATTTACGCGTCCTTAATATCAAAATTTTCCTATGAAATAATCAATTCTTGCCAAAAATATTTCCAATAATCATAGGAATAATTGGTCTAAAAATTGTAAACATTTATATTTAATAATAATAATACACCAGAAAGTGGATAAATCATCATTCAACTTGAAATTTGTTCCGAAAAGAAAGAATCGTACATGTTTTTAATAATACATCACTAATGAAACAAACGAAAGTTTTCCGCGAGAAAGTTCGAAATAATTTATAAAAATCGAATAGGATGATTCCGCGATTGGTTTTCTATCAGTATTAGAAACAATTTGATAACAATACACTCTGTATTTTGAAACAAATTTTACATGCATGTTCTTTTAAGATGATACTGTCAATTTGTTTATCGTTATATTAGTGTAACAGGGATCCTTTTGGTTTGATAGCTGAATGTTTTGTTACACAAAAGTATTTGCATGAGGTTATGTGGATTTATCATGTTATAATCAATCTCTGTCATGAGACTCCCAAAATTGATATTTTAAAACAAATATATAACAAGCATTATTGGTCATTATATAAATATAAATAGGTTTTATTTTGTTTTAGTATAACTATGATGTACTGTATGAGAATATTGATAAGATATATACAGATGATGAATATTTGCATAATATTTAAATATTTACATGTATTTTAATTGTTATCTTCTAACATAACAAAATTTCAATAGTATCTTGCTCAATCTCTAGATTATCATTTTTTGTAACGATAGTTCTAGCAATCGTGGTTGGTGACGGATTTACGTTAAAAGCATCATTAAACGAATATGATAGTGATGGTGGTCTTGCATCTAAGATTCGATCATCTCTAAAATATGATTCGGATTTAAATGTTAACTTTTCAGGGCCACCATAATAAATGCATGGCAGAAAAGCTGCAGGAGAATCATTCTTAACAAAGATAAGAAATAAAATTATTCCACTTATGATACGAAAATAGGAAATAAATAATTAACGCCAAGTTAAATTTGGGGAAGGTGATATCCATTATATTGTAAATAGTGATGATACATACCTTAATGGTTGAACAAAATCTTCAACGACTATCTTGTTAATTTCGGGATGTTCCGAATTAATCCAATATTGAGATATGACCCTTGATAATAAAGGGATCCCAAGAAAACTCGTGTACATGATGCTGCACATGAACAAACGTAGCGCATGACCGTATCTTAATGCCGTCCATCGATTTCTTTTTACCGAGTAATGCCGCCAACGTTTCCATAAAACTGCCGTTGCAAAGCCTACATGTATTTTTATAAAAAAGATTAATAAATGTATATCAAAATGATTTCAAAATTGATAATGTTAGATTATTTTTCGCTTACTTGTGAACGCAATTGCTATACAAAATAGAAGTGGAACGATTACTAAATATGTTATTTGATTTAATTTAGAATTTGGAGGTTTGCAAAGTAATGGTGTAACGCGCACGCCAAAATTCTCCTTCTCATACCCATCAACAAAAGAAAACACATTATAACAAACTGTGAAACACCAAACTAAACTTGAAAATATCCAAAAATACTTTTTCTCTATTTTTATGTTTCTATTTTCGGCAGCATGCCAAATATAAAATCCTAATATCACAGGAAATAAGTATAAAGGATACAAAAATATTAAAGATATCATCTGTTGAATTTTACAAATTAGCGTGTCATGCGCTTTATTCATTAAATCACCACCATAATTTATTATTGTTGGTGAAAGTCCTAACGTATATCCCCATGATGCTACAAGTAATTGGAATTGAGTATATTTCGTAAAATGATTAGGTGATACATATAATTTGATGATAAGAAATGTTGACAAGAATAAACTTAAGATATTTATTGAAATATAAATTATCGTTGAAAGGGTGTATTTGGGCATTACGGTAAAATTTAATATAAATCTGTATAAGATACGCGTGTTACAAAAATGAACAAATCGTTCATCCAAAGAAAGATATTTTCAAGAAACCGTATAATCTAAGTTTACATCAACACTTTTTTAATTTGGTGTCTATTTTTTTTAGCGCGTATATTGCAAAATTAATTTAATTTTGTATACTTATAATTTTCCAATAAATATCAAATTAATAATAATAATCTTTGGTATTTATATTTCCATACATATGTATATCTTTTCACCCTTCTTGCTTCAAAAAGGAAAAAAAAAAAAAAAATACGATAATAAATTTCTAACCTTATACTTGATGATTTTTTTTATTTATAGGGGAAAATTTTGATAATTAATTGAAAATTTAAATCGGAGTATTGATTCCGATGTTAATTATTTGTAACGCAGAATTAATTTTAATAGAAAATTCAGAATCTTCTAAATTTTATTCCTTTTTCGGGTTTGTTGATAGTAAACATTACATCGGGCCAATTTCGGATCGTTCTGTAGCAACAGCCGAGCCGTATTGATCGACAATAAATCAGTCCTAGATACCTAAAAAAAAAAAAAAAAAAGGAAAAAGTTGAAATATTGCTTAGCATTATTTTATTACCATATATATCTATCCATACTGTGATTTTTGTTGAACGAGCGTTTTACATTTCGTATCACGATTTGAACCAATCAAAATCTGCCACGAGATTACATATACTTGATTTACAAATGAGGCAAAATCAAAGTAGAAAAAAATATTTTTTCATAATCAACTCAACATTATAATAATTTTTGATCGATGTTTTAAAAAAAGGCTTTGTAATTAATCATCACATTGATCAAATGTGTAGTAAGAAAGAAAAAAGACAACAAGGCTTTGCATTTCAATTATGTAATGTATTAAGTAAACGATACTTATATGTTCAATAATAAGCATGGGGTAAAACATGTTTGAATAAGGTATGGTTAATGTAAATCAATCACATGACGATAAATATAATTTGAACTGTAACGCAGAATTTAAAAAACGCGTTATTTGTAATGTGTAAATATTTAACGTCAAGAATAATTTGAAACTATTGAAATTTAATTAATAAGACAAAATTTTCAATGTTTATCTTATTAACGACGAATAAAATTAGCTATGCATAATTTTATATAAATTCAACGACCTTGTCCCTGTTTCAATAAATTTAAATTTTAATATCAAAAATAAAGAGAAATATTTTTGAAGTTTCAAGCCCTAAGTTTTAAGAACTAATGATAATTTTCTATGAGTTTCATCAACATTTTAAATGGATAAATATGGATTTATAAAGGCTCTTATCACATTCAAATTTCATATGAATATTATACACGTGGTGGGGCTTAAAATAGTTAATATAAGGACTTGTTTTGTTTGTCGAATAAAGAATTAACATTTGATAATTGGTCATCTTATTTTCACATGATGTTTCAAATTAATTGTTAAATAATTCACAAAAATATATAAACACGATAATTTTATACCCTTAAGAATGTGTCGTCTTCACAATCAAAATTTACATTTATTATCAGTTTTTTCAAAATTCTATATCTTCAAAATAAACAAATATTCCCGGCCTTTTTATCAAATTTCTGGATTATACGGTATATTGATTTATTTTGGTCATCTAGCCATTATTATTTTTGAACAATGGTTCGGCCGATCTCCAATACCAATGACGCAACTTCTGAACCAACAAACATAAATAATCGGCGATGTGATATAGAATTTTGAAAAACTGTAATAATGTAATTTTTTTTTTAATTTATTAGATGACTTTTCAACCTAATGAATCTCATTTTATGAATTCGGTTTTACAACAATCAACAGATGAGGTGAAAAATAATTTTGTTCCTGATTTTGGAATATGTATAGAATGTAGTGAAGAACGACTCAGTGAAGGATGGTGTAAGGATTGTGAAATTAATGCTTTTAAAGAAAACTTTAAAAATTGGTCAAGTGGCAATCCTAACATTAATAACTTTATTAAGCATACTCAATTAAATGCAACTGGGAGCGTAGATTATTTGGAATATATTGAATTTGAACAATTTGATCTTATAGAAAATACAAATAAAGTTGGATCCTTTAGTACAATTTATTCAGCATTTTGGATGGAAGGCCCTCGCTGGAATTGGGATGAAGAAGCTGAGCAATCTTCACGTGTCGGACCTATAAAAGTTGCTCTTAAAAGGCTCAACAATTCACAATTTATGAGTGAAGAATATTTGAAACAAGTTAGTTCTAAATTTTTTTTAATACCAAAATTTAAATTCATTTTTTTGATTATTATTTTAAGTTTAGGTTAATCATATTTTCGTTAAAAATTTACGTTAAGATTTACAAATATCACTCTTGTTTACAAAGCGGAAGTGTTGCAGATTTTTTCGGCATAACTAAAGATCCTACTTCAAATTATATGTTTGTCATGAGATATTATGAAAATGGTGATTTATATTCATATATTGATGAAACTCAAGGCATGCTTTGTTGGAGAGATATCGTGAATATGATTTGGGAGATTTCAGCAGGAATTGAATTTCTTCATGATAATGGATTTATTCATGGAAATCTTCATGGAGGTAATCTGTTAATTGAAAATGAACCAGATATCATAAATACGTATATTACTGATTTAGGATTGAGTGGTCCAGCTAATAAAAGAAATTCAAAAGAAATATATGGAGTTCTTCCTTATACAGACCCTGAAATCTTAAAGGGAAATCCACCAACAAAAAGTTCTGATGTTTACAGTTTCGGCATTATCATGTGGACCCTTTCTGCAGGTATTCGTCCGTTATGTAATAGAGCTCATGATCTTAGATTAGCCACTGAAATTTCCCTTGGTCTTCGTCCCGAAATTATTGATGGTACTCCAAATGTTTATGTTCAGTTAATGAAACAATGTTGGCATCATGATCCTTCAAAACGACCAACCGCGTCTCAAATATGTGATTTGTTAGGAAATTGGGTGTCTGCTATTTGTGATGACCCCGACTCCTCGGATTTATCCGATCAATTTGATATTGCTGAGGAAAAGAAATTTTCCGATTTGGAAAAAAATGAGTTTCTTCAGCAACAAATCCATTACCAAGCCAATTATAAGAGTCGGCTCATGTATTTCCCCGAAATAATTGATTTTACAAAACGTTTTGTAAAAAAAAAAGTTTGAAATAGTAAAATTATTTGATGCATCGTATGTATGTTAATAATATGGGTCGTATGCTATTAAAATTGAGTTAAAAGACATAGTAAATCATATGATCAGTAAAACATGATTTTATTAGCATATTATATGTTGAATTTTTTTTTATAATGAAGTTTAAAGAATTTATAAATACTATTGCTATGAAAAAACGTGATAATTTTCTTCAGAATTGTAATGTATTAAAATCATTAATAATTATAATTACGTAAAATGTGATTAAATTAATAAGTACATGTTTTAAATATTAAAATAATTAATAATGATAATTAGAGTACATTATTAAAAAAATTTAAGCAGTAATGTAACCAATGTAACCATAAATTTAGCTTTTCCGGGGTTAGTCTTTTTACGGAATATTCTATGTTCAAACTATTTATGTTTATTGCAAATTAAGTATAATTAACACAACACATTATATATGAATATTATGATTTGCTATGAGAAAATATTTTATTTTAATATATTTTGACTAAATCTTCCTACACAACATAGGAATGTAAATCGATTTTAAAAAGAATCGATTAATCACGACTAATCGTTTCTCGACTAAGATTACTAAGAATCGATTTTTATCTCATAATTTTAATCGAAGCATTATCAAAATAAATTTATTTGTTCAAAAAACTCGTGAAAAAAAATTAAACAAAAAAAAAATTTAAATTTCACAAAGTTTATATTTAGATATTAGATAACTACTAATTTAGCTTGCATCCAAAATATATCTTCTCTATTTCTTTTTAAGAACATAAGTTGTTTGATAAGTAATGAATGCAGACAAGTTCCTCGAGAAGTTATAAATTTTTAGCATCAGCGAGTATAGAAAGATATTTTATTACTTTGGATATTGGTTTAGTCTTTTAATTTTTTTAATTTTCTTTTTCCTTTTGCTAGTCGCGGCGATCGAATATTTTATTTTTCCGCCCTGTTGATTTATTATTTTTTTTTCTTTTCAAGTCCGAGGGAATATGTAAGTTTTTTTTTATAATTTTCTTTTATTTTGATCATTTTAATATTTATTTTGAGGGGATTGTGCTGTAACAATATTTTTTTTTTTGATAAATATATAATGAATTAATTTTGTGACAGCTGCGGTGTATAGTTTCATTACGCTGTAATTTTAATATAATTACACTTACTGCGTCATTTAACGATTCGATTTTTTTATTCGATTTTTGTAGAATCGATACAATGTATTAGGAATATACGAAATATTACATTCGATGAATTGCCCCTTGACATAGAACGATGATTTTAAAAACTTATAACGTGGATTGCATGAATTCACAATATAGATAGATTTCTTTATTGTCAAGAAATTTTTAAGTATTTATCCTAAACTTTTATTTGTACTTTCCAAGATAAATGTTTTGACGGGCGATTGAAAGTTTGAATGATCAATTAAATTCATACGCTCATGTGATTAAAATTGATGGTTTAAATCAATTTAATGACTTACCCTCCGCTTTATCAAATGAATCATACCAAATATTTGGTACAAATTTTGTTGTTGGATGCGCAACTACCTTTTTTACAGTCAATTTCAACCTGAGTTATTTCCTTAATTTCTTGTTATTATTCGAACAAATTTCGCGTGAAAACTAATAGGCATTATTTCAAAATGACTTGTAAGTATATAAAATGAATACTTCATCGAGCAAATTTCAGTTTAAAAAATTCTTCCGCGGCGGTAATTTAATATAAAGAACGATTGAAGATATTTATAATTATCCTATAATAAATGATGTTTGCTTTATTCTAGTTGTCAATTCTCAACTTATAAAACGCAATTCCTTATACTTTTTGAAAAATTTTATTTAAATATTTATTTATTTATAGTGAATTATTCAATAAGTTAATTAATCACTACAAAAAGTTAATTACTTTACGTAAAAGGTTGCAACAAATCAATACAAATGATAACTCTTTAAAATTACTATGAATACTAGCTTTTTAGCATATATTATTAAACAAGTGTGTTTTAGAAACGATAATATGAAATTAAGATAGAAAATAAATTATTTTTAATGATATACGATAATTAACTATTGATTTCAATATTGAACACAAATTAGCTACTAATTTTCAATATTGTACGATATATACAAATTAATGTCTATTATAAAAAAATATAGGTCAAATAAACTCAGCATGATCCTATAGGGCCGTGTGATAATTTGGGTTTATAGTTTATAGATTAAATCTCACATGATAACGTGGTGATGATCGTCATTATGTACTTTGAAGTTACATAAATAATTATATACTGTATTATTTATTATGTGTTTATATTAGTCATGCAATATCTGCAAGAACCAATAAATTTTTAATATCATGTGTAACCATAACTAATATTAAACCAATCAATAATTAATTGCATCAGTACAAAGCTTCGCACGTGTCAAACGGTTTCGTTACCTACACGATTCCATTATCTTTTTTTTTAAATAAATAAATTTAGGTTCATTAATTCGATAAAACAGGTAACAGCTGAAAATATATATTTATAATTTCTTTGTCTGTTTGTACAATAAACAACATCAAAAATTTCAACATTCACGGATATCAATTTGTATATAGAGACCATTTATATGGAAACTTTTTAAATTATGATTTACACGACTTTGTATATAATATTTCATGCTTAATTATTTACATATTAAGTTGTATAAATAGAAAGGTTTTTAACAAAAAAAAAAGACATTTGGAAGCTACGATCATTATCAGACCGGCCGAAATTAAAATCAATGCATTTAATCCTCCATTATTTAACAATTGAAAAGAATAAAAGAAGATATTAATTAATCTTTCCCGATCGTAAGTTTAATTCAATAATCTGTCTTATAATTTCGCACAAAAAATTATTTTTTATTTCATCAATCGTACCATATATTTTGCAATTGTGATATACTTGTTCCATAAAAATATTTTTTGGTTACCTGTATCATGGTTATATGTGAGGTGAATTGTGTTAATAATATAACTGTTACATTATCTAAATATAGAATAAGTTTATTAAAGGAGGGCTAAAAATTTTGTCATTCAAATTTCAGAAATTTTGGCCCCTTCCCCATCCATTTTTAGATTAATATAGAATCGTGGAACGTCTCCCCCTTAAAATGACATTGTTTCTGAGAAAATTTATTGCACGAAAACTTTTTTTTATCATAATGTTTCAACGAACGTATTAAAAGTATTTTCGATCAGTTCAGTGTTGGATTTGACATATATAAGTTTATATGCAAACAATTTGATTTAAGTCCCGATCATCATGCATGAAACAAGAGTTTATTAAATTATCCCCAGGCTCTGATTGGCTGGTATAATTGAGATTAGTTAGGACTAGGGGCTTAGGTGATTTATCACCGGTAGTGTTTCAATTTTTATTAAGTATCTGGGGGACTTAGATTTTTTATGTGTTGATGTTTATTTGTCCCCCCAATACGTGACAAATAACATAGTTAAATATACCAGCCAATCAGATCCTGAGGGGTAAATTAGTGAAATCGAGTTTATTTACATACTGTATTCAATTTATATGTTTCCAAATTTGTAAATAATTTCGCTTGAAAATTTAGAATCTAAACTAATGATTTTAAAATCTTTGCAGGGGTTGTTATGACTTTTAATTTGGAAAATGAACATGAATCCAAAAGGGTATCAAGCCTTATTTTTGGAAAATGTGCTGAATGTGGTGAAGAACGAATCAGTGTAGGATGGTGTAAAGATTGTGAAATTAATTCTTTTAAAGTACACTTTATATATTGGACAAGTGGTAATCTTAATATTGATAATTATATTAAGCGTACTCAATTAAATGCATGTGGAAGTGTAGATTATTTGGAATATATTAAATTTGATCAGCTCGTCCTTATAAAATATATGAATAAAGGCGGAGCCTTCAGTACAATTTATTCAGCAATTTGGATTGAAGGTCCTCGATGGATTTGGGATGAAGCGGCAGATGAATGGACACGAAATGGACCGATAAAAGTTGCTCTTAAAAGAATTAACAATTCACAAAATATGAGTGAAGAATATATAAATCAAGTAAGTTATAATTTTAAATATTCAATTATTATTTTTATTAATCGTGTAAATTATCTTCTTTTTTTATTGATTTATAAATTTTGTATGAAGCTTTGCAGATATCATCATTGCCTACAAAACGGAAATGTTGCGGATTGTTTTGGAATAACTAAAGATCCCACCTCAAATTATATGTTTGTTATGAGATATTATGAGAATGGAGATTTGCATACATATCTTGATGAAGTCAAAGGAATGCTTTGTTGGAGAGATATTGTTGAGATTCTTTGGAGCATATCAGGTGGAATTGAATGTATACATAAAAATGAATTGATTCATGGAAACCTTCATGGAGGTAATCTGTTAGTTGAAAGTGAACAAGATTCTATTGACGTTCGTGTTGCTGATGTGGGATTACATGGACCAGCTGATAAGAAAAATTCCAATGAAATAAATGGAGTTCTTCCTTATACAGATCCTGAAATCTTAAAGGGAAATCCTCCAACAAAATCTTCAGATATTTACAGTTTTGGAATTATCATGTGGACATTATCAGCAGGTATTCGACCATGGTGTAATAGGCCACATGATATTCAACTAGCTACTGAAATCTGTTTTGGACTTCGACCTGAAATTATTGATGGCACTCCAGAAGTTTATATTCAAATAATGACTCAATGCTGGAACTCCGATCCTTCGAAACGTCCAGTTGCGTCTCAACTATATGAATTGATTGGAAGTTGGATATCTGCTATTTGCGACGATCCTCAACAGACTGAATTGTCTGAACAATTTGATCTTGCTGAAGAGAAAAAATTTTCAGACTTGGAAAAAAATAAATATCGTCAAGAAATTCATAGCCAAGCTTTTTATACAAGCAGACCTTTGTACTTTCCAGAATTAATTCATAATATTAATACTACAAATAGAAAATTCTAATTTGGCAAGGCTTTATTTGACTTCATATTAATTAAATAAGTGTATGTATATTTCACACTAAATGTAAATGATGTAATATATATATGAGGTATTTCTAAGATTTATGATTACTATGACATACATATCTATATTTTTTAATTTAATATTTTAATTTAATACATACCAAATTTTAACGTCAATAATTTATGCATCAGAAAATTATTGAACATTTATTAATAAATTAAAAGGAATTGATTTTTATTTCGTTATTATTGAATAGGAAGAAGTTCGCCTGATTGGCTAATTTCGTGTTAATCATTTTAATTTTCGATTGGTTAGATTTTGATTGGTTGATTCTGTAACAGTTTATATGCTATAAGTTTGAAATTATAAATCATTTTGAGGCAGAGGTAATTTACCTAGTCTGCTTTAAGAATAACAAAGTTATTAATTGTTATAAAAAATTATAAAATAAGAAAAAATATTTTTAATCCTAAAATAATTTTTTTGATTTATTAAATAAAAATAAAAATCTTTTTAAATAATCAATATAATGTATAATATATATTGCATATATAATTATAGTAGAAGAAAATCATAATATTGTTTTATTCTAAAAATATAAAATGCTATTAGTAAATACTTTAATATTATTATCTTCTTAAAAATAAAATCAGATTCTACAACTTTATAATAAGCTTATTTAACATAAATTATCTAAGTATGTATAATTAATATTCTTATTAACATATAAATATAATTTAAAATACTTGTATTTAGTTCTTTTTAATTCAAATATGTGTTAAAATATGAGTTATTTGCTTTTGAATCAAATTATGAGACATAATAAATCATTTAATCTGTAATATGATTTTAATAATAAATTTAATTATATAGTAATATTTCTATAGTAATTGAAATATTAGTAATAAAATAATTAAAAATTACAACCAGATAAATTAAATTATAAAAAAGCTATATTTTATAAGTAAATTAAATAGAAAATCTAGTTTTAGCATTAAATTTCTTAATACTTTTTAATGAAAATATATTAAATTAAATTTAAATTTTATATAATAAAATACAAATATAAATATAATAAAATCTTTTTAAATGTATTTCCTTTAAAATTATAGTTAAAATTTGAGATTTTATATTTTTAAAGAGCATGTATATTTATAAAAAGAAAATTTATATAACTTTTATAGAATTAGAATTATATAAAATATATATTTAAAAAACATTAAATGTATGTATTTAAAGTATGCTTTTAGAGTGATCTTATTATCAATACATAAAATCTAAGTTTTTTTTATCTTAGAGTAGTAATTACTTTTATTAGAAATGCAAAGAGTTTTATTTGTTGAAAATCCAATGGACTACATCTAAAGAACCTTAAGTTTTATACGTATCTGGACTTTTGACGAAACCCAATTATATGAAACCTATTTGGTCGAGTCCAATTGGTTGAATAGACGGTTGCTCAAAGGTCTACCTTATCAAATGATCCGTTCACCGAAAGTCTACCTTACTAAATGTTCAATTCACTTAAAATCTACCTTACAAAATATCCAGTTCATCGAAAGTATCATTACTGAATGACTCGTTCACTAAAGGTCCACTTTACTGAATGTTCAGACCATCGAAGGTCATTATACATTTTGTGAATAAAATTGGAAATAAAAAAATAAGTAGATCTATATACTGTAGTTCTTTTATTATAAAAAAAATTTATCTAGTTGTATAATTAATTAATTACTATGAATAAATATTTTATTATATTTATATGTCATATTATATGTTTTTTATTGTGTATAAAGTTGAAAAATTTTTTTTAATCTATCACAATAAATTTTTATTGGACGGAAAATCATTAAATTTTCAGTAAAATGTCCATTCAGTAAAATAGACCTTCGGTAAAGTGGACCTTCAGTGAATAGGTCATTCGGTAATATGTTCTTCAGTAAACTGGACATTTGGTAAGGTAAACCTTCAGTGAATGGGTCATTCGGTAAGGTGGACCTTTGGGCAAATGTCCATTCAGCCAATAGGACTTAGCCAAATGGGTTTCAGTCAATTGGATTTTGATCAAACGTAATGTAACCAGTTTTATAATCTTTTTAAAGCCTATCTACTTTTATCAAATCACTTGTCTAATAGATGTTATCAGAAAAGATTCTAAGCATAGGTAAACCTGATTATTACTCTTAGTATCCAGTATTATTAGAATTCAGCTATTACAACTAAATAGAGAAATCAAACAAATCCTATTTTGAAATCTATTAAATTAGACAAGCTTAAGGTTGCTGGACGAAATCAAGAGTTTAGACAGATGTTTAAATGGTAAAAGTAAAACTTGGTTAAATTATATTAA